AAAAATACGCACTTTGAAATTTTTTTTTCAAATTGAGTTAAGTGTGTCCCAAATTTAACGCACTCTGAAAAAGTTTTCAAAGTGCGTTGATCTGGTACCAATTTTACCGAAACTTTGAAAAACTTTTTCAAAGTGCGTTGCCACAAAGCTGTGTGGTATGAAAGGGATTGAAGCACATACTAGTAATCTATCAGGATGCCAAGAAGCGCTGACTTAGGGAAGTATAGATGGTGACAGGACAAAACATACAAAATCCTGTGTGAGTTGGTTGATGTTGTAGAGGTGTGGGAGAATAACAACCACCAGACTTGAAACAAAGACATTTACAATTTGTGAGACAGTGGAAAACAACGACTGACACATGAGCAACATGGTGGCCATCAATGCTGGATAGAGTGGGATCTTGGAGTGGATCTAGACAGAAAGTTAGTTTTCCCTAAGATCGTGAAAGCCAATCAGCGACTAGACGCAGAATACATGTTCCAGCAGTCGAAGACGTTGATCGCAATATAGCTGAACATGTCAAGGGAAGAAAATTGTAGAAGGCACAATAAGAAGCCTTAAATAATAAATACTAAGTATGCACACCTCGTGACGACTGCAAGAATAGGGGATGGAACGTTTGGGTTTTCCAATAGAAGTCCGTTGCAGAGGGTTCCAAGCAACATTGGCGTGGAAGCTGATTAGGAGTACCAGGAAGAGCACGCAAGATGCAGAAAGAAGACTGAAGCAACAGAGAGGTCATCCTGCTGGATGTGAAACCGCCGAGACGATCCGTGCTGGAAGTCAGGAACCATCGTGGATTGGCCATCGCTGCTTAACCACCGGCTGGAGGGTGTCATTGTTTAGAGTCGAAACATCCGGTGGAGTTTGGAGACCATCTGACGACGATTGGAACAAGTAGTCGAGCACCAGGGCCGGAAATGACAGATAGCAATAGTCATGCATAAGAGTGCTAAATTGATAAAAACAGTAACTAAAATTCATCCTCTGTTAGTGCATATTTACTCAAGGTTTATCTTACAAGAATTCAATAATGACACGCTTTTCACCAGCATCTCTTTCTATTGTACCAAATAACAATCCGTTTAGGTACCAAACACCCGGAATGGCACACTGCTCACCTACTCATCAACAACCCAATCCATTTACATGCCAACACTGCTCACAAGCTTCTTTCTTTCTATTGCACCCAGCATTAATTCAATCCGTAAATGAACCTATACTTGGGCTATTATAATGCTCACTTACTTCCTTCTTCTTTCTAAATTGTTCAGTCGTAACGGACCGATCTTTTCAGTCCTATACATAACGACACCCAGGACGATGCGCTACCACCAGCTTGTCTCTATCTATCGTAACGGATCGATCTATTTAGTCCTATGCGTACCGACACCCAGGATGATACGCTGCCCACCAGCTTGTCTCTATCTATCGTAACGGATCGATCTATTTAGTCCTATGCATACCGACACCCAGGACGATACGCTGCTCACCAGCTTGTCTCTATCGTAACGGATCGATCTATTTAGTCCTATGCGTACCGACACCCGGGATGATACGCTGCCCATCAGTTTGTCTTCATCTAGTATAACAGAACGATCTTTCAGTCTTATACTGTACATACCGACAGATGGATTGATACACTGCTCATCAGCTTATCGTCTCGGAAGGATATTATTAATTCAACACCCGTGTTGATACGCTGCTCATTATCTTATCTCTATCTACCTTACCAGGCCGTTATATTCAATCCAATACATACCGACACCTGGGTTGATACACTGCTCACCAGCTTCCAGCTTGTCTTTATTTATCATTTCAGACCGATCTATTCAGTGCTATACGTACCGACACGCAGGTTTTTACTCTGCTCACCAGCTTCTCTATTCATCGTACCGTACCGATCAAATCAGTATTTCTTATTGGACCTTTCTTTTCAGTCCTATGGGTACCGAAAACTTGGATGATGGATGATGCGCAGATTACCAGTTTGTCTCTATCTATCGTATCAGTTCAATATGCACCGACGATCGGGTAGATATACTGTTCACAAGTTTGTCTCTACAACTGTATCTATCGTATCATACCTTTGTATTCAGTCCTATACGTAACCGACACCCTGGATAATCCTCTGCTCACCAGCTTGTCTCTATCTATCGTACTAGACCAATCTTATTCAGCCCTATATGTACGTAACGACACCCTGGGTGATACGCTGCTTACCAGCTAGTCTCTATCTATATTACTAGACCAATCTTATTCCCTCCTGTACCTACCGACACCCGGGCTGATACGCTGCTCACCATCTTCTCTTTTTCTAGTACCTATCGTAACAGACCGTTATATTCAGTCCTACACGTACTGACACCCTGGGTGATACGCTGCTTACCAACTTGTCTATATCTATCGTATTAGACCAATCTTTTTCAGTTCTATACGTACCGACACACGGGTTGATACGCTGCTCACCAGCTTGTCTCTGTCTATCGTACCCGTCAATAACCCAATCCGAAATTTGTCTCTGGAACTGGGTTTGTTATCTGTTCCTACAAAAGTAACTAATGTAGTATTCTAGTTTTCCAGTTGTCCTTACAGTGTTTTTATTTCCCTTTATACAATATGCCTCTTATACTCTTACTTGGACAAGAGTCCATTGCTTGTATCTTTTTCATAGTTGTATACAAGGGAAAGGCCTCTTCCACCTCGGGTTCAAACATCTTTCTGATCCTGTCTGGCCGTGTCTCTGATTTTCGACTTTGGAAATCGCTCACAATTTTACATTTACCCTTGATTCCAAAAAGAAAGGATTTTCAAAAATTATAAGTTTCATCCTTTATTTGTTTTTTGTTTTTGTTTTTGTTTTGGTTTTTTTTTTTCTACAATAAAAAGCAGTCATTGACGGTATGTTGTCTCTTACCGCTTTAACGACAATGATGTATTTACTTTCCAGACTGTCTCTGACAATGACATCATCAGGTCTGAAAATATCCATACTTTTTTTATTACCTGGCAATTCAATATTATTTTTTAAACATTTTTAAATTTGGTATTATTACTTCTCATAAATAGATTGTTTAATAACAAAACGCTGACTAACTTGAAATATTGATAGAAAAACTGGCTTGTGTTGTGCTGGAAAGCTTTGTCGCAAGGGAAATCTTTGAACAACATCAGTGATCTAAATGGATTTTGAATTTTAACATGTATTCAAAGGCAACAAATACTCTCAAACTTTTGATAAAATTTTCAAAATTCTTACTTGCAGAATTCTACGTTTTGTTCTTTTTGTTTTCGCAGTGGCTCCTTGATTATGACATCGAAATCCTTTAAAATACACATTTGATTCGAGTAAACAACAGTTTGGTTTCAGACGTATATAAAATGAATACAACATAATATTCAGTTAAAGAATTGGTGTCTTTTATACCTCTTTCAAAACGACTAGAAACTCACACGTTGTTTTACAAATGATGGAGGCTGTGCGGAGTCCCCCGTGTATCAAAGAAATCTCCTGAAATATACAAATGAACTGAGCATAAAAAGTTATACCAGTGATTAAATAAAATCACATCCTATACTTCCTTCAGAATTCGCAGATAAACGATTTTTAGTCAACGACTTTTACATATTTTTACTAGTCATTACTCGCATAGCGAAGTGGTTGAAGCGTCAGCTCTAAAAAAGGCGAAGTAAGGATTTGATCCTTACGTCGCGGGTTCGAATCCCACTGTGGGACGTGGAGACTAGCTGGTTCCTCGGATGAGACCGTTTAAACCAAAATCTTGTTTCGCAGTGGGTGTTGGCACGAAAAAGACCCCTCCTTGCTCAATGGCCACGAGTACCGAGTATAACACAAAATTTGCAGCTCTCCATCGAAAAATGGAGGCGTCTCCATATAAGTGAAAATTTCTCGAGAGAAACGTTAAACAACAGACAAAGAAACAAACAAACAAATATATTTTTATTGAGAATATTTACCCCAAACGTGTCCCCACCGTTAAGTTCGTGAACTGTTCGGACGAATTTGTTTCCCGTTCGCGGATCTTCGTCAAGGATGTTCACTATGGCTGTGCCTGTCAACATGATGTAAAACATGGACGGAGGGTGGCCCTGCTTCAAAATCACTCGGCGTGCCTCGTAACTGCAAATTTATAATTTAAGGAAATTATATGAATTACAGTACGGTGTTTATTTCTGATTCCATGTAAATTAAAAAAGACATACTGTATTGTTGTCTAATAAAGAAAACAGTTATGAAGTTTTTCACAGTGAGTTTTAGTTGCAATATTTAATCTATCACAATGACCTTTCTCAGTTAAATTGGCACTGTCCTTACGGCGATTTATGGTTCAGGTACATCTAATAGTTTCTGTTTGCTCCAAACTTAATCCTGGCCAATCATCCAGAAAACGTACATGTAAGTCTAATACAGCATCTTGATAGACCTGATCCCACCTCCGATGTTTTGGAGGTCTGTGTTTGCTCTGCTCCTGTTTTGTATTGGTTTATGGACTTTTGAATACTGTTCGTTATCTCCATGTGTTTCACCTCTTTCGCCACGAAGTGGCTTTTCAATTTTGAGTGAAAAATTTTCGAAGGAAGGTTAAACAAACAAAAATATGGATGAATGTCAGATCCAGCATTCGAAGCAATCTTCTAGATGTTCTGCCCTTGCAATTTTGGTCAACATAAGACTTTAAGTTAATGTAGATTGATCCTGTTCCAAAAACCTCATCCTGGTCACTCGTCATAAAAATGTATGCAAGTTCAGCAACCAGAGCACGTCTTGACGTCAATTTACAGCAATCCACGAGGCCCATGGGCCAAAAACTCTCACCTGAGTAACTAATGGCCCTTTTGTTCTTTATTAGCAGATTTCTTTATTCTTATGTAAAAATTTTCCCACCTTTGGTACTGCATACAGCGGGCCAGTTGTATCTGTGTGTGTACGGGATAGTCCTGAAAGGAGGCGTTGTCCCTCATCAGAGCCATTATCTGTCAAATAGAAAAAAAAAACATTACCATTGATTAAAGGCGCCGTCTTAGGTAATAGGCCGCTTATAATGAGTCATTTCTTTAAAGTCTGGGCTCACCACTTGAATGTTCTGCAGAGTTCTTCGTTCTTTGGGTATGGAGAGTAGTTCTTTCAACTTGTCTCTTAGCTACAATTTATAGGATGAAAAAATGTTAGGCTTTTATTTTCAGTCAGTCTTTGCAATGATTTTTAAATAAATTGTCCTTATAGCAGGTGTTGGGCTTGTAGCTTTTTATACTAGTACTTGTACTTACAGACCTGAAGTATCTATATTTAGTGATTAGTTACATTGTACTTTAGAAGGTTATTAAAGGTAATGTTCACAATTTGTTTTAACTAGATGTCTTCTATTTTCACGCAGTAGCGTTTCTAGAGAAGGTTGTGACAGTTTCGAAAGCTCTTTGCACTGGTGTTTAATTACATTTAGTTGTTTAATATCAAATCTATTTAAACCTGTAGATGACTTTTAAAGTGTTTAATTCAATTAGTCGTTTAACTTTTATGTAACACTGTTATAAATTACAGTATATTATGTCACCCACTGGTTCAAATTTGCCGTACGTATTGGGATTGAAGGCTAGGACTTGGTTCATATCATCCCGTAAATGTATGTACATCTCCATGAATGACCATTCACTGGTGTTGGGTTTTAGAGTGTATCTGCAAAAGTATTTTTACAAGATTTTTTTATTGCTGTTAAGGAGGCTGGGGGTCAACAAATTAACCACCAGATTTAACTTATTTTTTTAGATATGATATCTTAAATAAGCTGTCAACTATCATTTGGCAAAGAAAAATTTCATACATTCTATTTTTTAAATTTGATCATTTTTGTATAATCTTTACATGGAGCTCTTCTTTTAAAGGAGGTCAAAATAGTCTGAAAAATGGCCACAACCCCAGCCCCTTTAAACAAGTTTCATTATTCTATACAGCATACAGAAATATACCTCTGCGACCATTAAATTGATGTTTTCTCAGTCATACAAAGTAAAAGTCGTGACAGATTTGACAATGACATATCGAGAATAGCAGTTGTTCAAAATTTACATTATGAATAAAAGGTGGATGGGGTGGAGTTAGTACTCACCTCTTTAACCAAATCCAAATCCCGGATACAATTAGAACACTCCTGGCGATTCTTCTGAACTTGACAATGGCCTACAATGTGTATCATCATAAAATTATGAACACCGGTTACCCATATGTTGTGAGAAATATTGAAATGATACAACAAAGTGCAGGGTAAACAGAATATAAAATATACGTAGAAAGAAAAAAAATAAAAAGTGCAAATGAAAATACATGTACATGTATTGTGCAATCGAGGCAGTTGCACTAGAGGTGTATGTATAAAATTTTAACCTTCTCCGGTACGTAGTTCTGCAAATAAAGAAATCTGATATAAAATCTTTTAGAATATTTAGTTTTCAGGAAAAATAAAATTTTGCTTTTTATCTTTATCTTACAACAAAGATAAGACATAAGAGCATGAGAACTAACCGGTTCCCGCGGAGAGAGGTCCTCCTGGGGTGAGGGCAGGGGAGGGAACAGTAGACCTTTGGTAGACATTCTCCTCCTCCTCTGCAGACGACCAAGTCCTCGACTCAACATCCGGAGATGCTGCTCCCCAGTCACTGACGTCACAGAACTCCGGCGAAGGTCGTTACCGATGGAAATTACGGAGCTCCGACGTCGAACCGGTGAAACACGGCCGGAGCTCCGGATACTGGTTGTACCTGAGTTAATGGATGATTGTTGTTTGGGAATCTTTTGTGATTCCAAAGGTCTAAGTGAGAATTCTTTTAGCAGAAGTTTGTACTGTGACTCTGCTTCTGACCTGGCCAAGGAAGTACCAAGTCTGACGACAAAATCCGGGGTGTCCCGATCATCGCTTTTGCTATCCGAAAGATTCTCACCCGGATCCAGAAGATGTGGTACATCCAGACTCTGAATCGGAGTGGACGTCAGCAGACGATCCTCTTCTATCGAGTTATCCATAATATGAAGAAATTTTTGCTTCTAGCATAAACAGACTAGAACTCCACAGAAAAACAAGCTTTCTGATACATATATTTCTTTGATTTGAGGCGTAATTACGGATAGAAGATAAGGACTTTCTCGTTTTGATAAGTAAACATTGGGGTATTCTGTGGAGAGGTTAGGCATTATACAAACCATGGAACAGATTTATTGGTCATTTATAAGAAAATGGTCGAGTTACTCGGGAGAGTGACGATATTGTTCAATCTTTATCTTTAAGAAATAACAGATTCCCTTCTGAATAGTTCGATTCATCAAATAGAAACGTTTATCAATGAATATCGTGTTTAATCTCTCTTTTTTATCGGACTTAAATTGAATTTGGCAGAGTGGTGGCATAGTAAACGAAAAATGTATTGACACTTTCGTAATCTATCTAACTGTCGCTTTCATTCCGTTTAAAGTTTTCAAAGAGCGTTCTCGATTGTTTTTGGTATGTTTTTTCCTGTCTTATTCCTTTCCTCTTGTTTGACAGGATGGCCACTTCCCGTGAGAAAAATCAATACAAAAGACGTAAAATTCAAACATTACCGCGGTTTGCATACATGTATATATATAGCCATAATTAATGCATAGATACTCTTTGGTCAAAAACGTACCAGAAATACTATCCATCAAAAAAAAGTTTTTGGTTCTTTTTTTAAAGGCCACACAAAACAGATTTTCTGTTTTGACTTAAGTTGCTCGCAGAGATGTTTCAAGCATGACGTTGCGCAAGGAGTTCACTAACTAGTACATGTATGTATATGCGTTACAACAAAATATTATGCAATTATATTGCTGGTTTTTGAAATTTCACACCTGAGAAATACAAAATTCACCGTGCTTGAAGGATGAGGTGAATATTATGCTTCGAGGGTGGCTTAATCATCGTATTGACCGAAAACACCCCAACAATGATTGTTTTATATTATATGATTCAATGATTAAATGACAAAAACTCATGACAATTAAGTTTTTGTATATTTGAAGAGTGTGGAATTTTACATATTTTTGTCTCAGCCTTCCCATGACCTTGACCTCATTATGAATATAACTTTTCCAGATTCTTTTTATCAAACTTCATACATTTTTCCTTTCACTAAAAAAACAGTTTACACACCTTTATGCTACAGTCAAAAACACAGCAAGGCGTCCTTGTTCTTTCAAAGTCGTTGACTTCTAATGCTTCAAACCTTCGATTTTTCATACCAATTTAACACAAATCCGCGTTTTTCAGGCACCGGCACTTGTTTCGGAACTAATTTTTTAACCCATAATATAATAATAAGTACCTGTGTCATGATTATACTATGGGTTTAAAAATTATTTCCGAAACAAGTGCTTGTGTTTCCAAGGGGTCAACGTCTGCGTTTTCCAGTGGGGGTCCAAGGACCCTTTTTACTTGATTTAGTATTTGAATTTAATAACCTTGCAAATTCCAGGGGGGTCCGGACCCCCCCCCCCCCCCCTCTAGATCCGCGCATGCATGACTGTAGTTTTTTTTTAAGAATTAAGAGAACTGATTCACATAATTTGGTGAAATTGTAGTTAATAAAACATTCTCGTCTCGTAGATTTCAAATTAAAATTCAAGGTGCGATTAATTGGACACTGATATTTTTATTTGAAAACGCATTCAAAATGACTCCATCGTCTCAAGCCACGGTCCGGAGTTCGCATATAGCTCACATCGTCTCAAGCCACGGTCTGGAGTCCGCAAATAGCCCTCTCCCAGAATGGGAGAAGAGCGTACATTTTGACCGTGGTTTGCGACGATGAATGATACCATGATTATAAAATCACACTACTATCATTCCAATAACAGCGTATAACTTTGCTTGATCGAGCGTGGAAAAGTTTTACATGTTGATTACCATATATTTACATTTCCAATGTCTTTGTCCGAGATAAAATTACCAATTGTAAATGTAATTGATTTCCTCATGAATGTTTTGGCGCGGTTCCAAAAAAACCACGTGCAGGGCGGGACAACACCTAGAGAGAAGCAGGCTTGGAGCCCGTGGATTGGCGGAATCAAAGCATGTAAATATAAGGAATAACTGTCAGATTTTTCGAATTCATGAAGATGATCAATGGATTGGCTTGTGTGATAATTTTATTCATAAACGCCTTCGGCGTTTATGCAAATTATCACACGAGCCA